TTTCCCAGAGTTCTTGGAGGGTTCTTCAGTCTTCATGGTGTGGTTCTATCCAGGAGTTCTGATCCACCAGGGACTGGACCTTCCAGATACACGAGTCTTTATACTACAACCACTGAGACACATTCACTGACCTCAGATGATGCGTTTACTGACTGTGGGACTTCTACACCACCTGGCTGAGGTACATTAAAGGAGGAGAACTCTGATGAAACCACCTGTTCTACGTCCTAGGTTCTGAGTTAACAGCGTATGTCAGACACCGGTTATTGTTCTGTGCTTTTGTTGCCGTTCGTACCTTCCAACAAATGAACTCATTTCTGTTTTTATATGTACATTATGTAGAAGAAGACGTTTTCACATCGACACAGCTGCTTTAGCATGTGTCCAGACATGATTCTGGTTTTCGTGTTGACTTTGTGTTCGTCTTTATGAACCTGTGTGTTTGACCTGAACCCCAGCATGCTGACGCGTAGACAAATCTCTCCTCAGATGTTACCGTCTCCTGCCAAGTTCCACTACATCTTCAACCTGAGGGACCTGAGCAGAATCTGGCAGGTAGAAATCACAGCGTCCTTCACTTTAAGGCTGAACAACACAAACTAGTGGTGAGTTGTTGTTGTTGTTGTGTTTCAGGGGATCCTCACAGTGAAGTCTGAGGTGTGTCGCAGCTCTGATCTGCTCGCTGCTCTCTTCCATCACGAGTGCAGCAGAGTGATCGCCGACCGATTCGTCGACAGCAGCGACAGACAGACGTTCACCTCCATCATGGAGAAGGTTTGTGGGACCTATCACCGTTCTCACACCTGATCAGTCTGTTTGCTCTACATGATGCTGCAGCAGCTGTGGAATTACTTTGAGACGAGACAGAACTTTATCAATCTGCAATAACACGTTTTGTCAAGTGTGTATTTTAATTAAAGCTGTAAGCAGCGATGGCCGGCCCTCGCCGTATGATTGTCACACACGCCGGGGTTCTGGGCGGGACTCTGGTCTGGCGTGTTGAGTTTTGGACCTATCAGAGCACGCACAGCCGGTTACACAGCACGTCCCGATTTATGGCGTTTTGGTGAAATTCCGTAGGCCGCCATTTTGACGGCGTCAGACTTTTGCTGAATAGCTTTTAATCACCACGTCCTGTAGTTTGTGCGGGCCAGATTGTGCACGACGTTCCCTCAAGGAGGAGATAGAAGTCGAAAATGAGCGAACGTCACCAAAATCATCGCCATCTTTTTTCAAAATGGCGGACTTGCTGTTGGGTTTTGGGCTTGGTGCTTGCTGCCTTTTTTGTGCGTCCTGACCTGCTACACATGCCCAGTGGATTGTGTAGCTGTAGGTGGGACTCCGCTGAACGCACGGGCCGCCATTTCCACGCCGTCAGACTTTTGGGGAGAGTTTTAGTAACTGTTAATCACCACGTCCTGTAGTTTGTGCGGGCCAGATTTCAGGTGTGCACGACGTTCCCCCTAGGAGGAGATAGATTTTGAAAATGAGTGACAATCGCCAAAATGCTCAGTTTTTTTCCAAAATGGCGGACTTCCTGTTGGATGTAGGACGTGGCCACCGTGGGCGTTTCTGTGCGTCCCGACCTGCTACATACACCTACTAAATTTCATAGCTCACGGCCAATTGGCTTCCGACGGGACTCCGTTGAAAGCCTCTAGGGGGCGCTGTGGAGCCATTTTTGCCACTGACATGCACATAAAGAAAAAGCCCAAAACACACATTTCTCATTCAAGCTAGTCCAGTTGCTACGATGAACCTACCAGAATGAATCTAGTTTTCTTAGTTTCACGGCTTCTTGTCTTTTTTGTGAGTGATTCTGATTGACCACAGCCGCTGAGCCAGTGTGAACAGGATCCGGCGTTTGGAGGGAGTAAATCCAGTTTGCCTGACTGTGTTGTCGTACTTGTTGTCACGGTCCCCGCCTTTTGGTGGTGAAGTGGCGAGATGTCATGATGGGCGCCATGGCTTCTTTTGGTACCAAACTAGAAGATCTAGCAACGGAGCATCACGCTAATCGATGTGTCCTGGAGAGCTAAACAGTGTGCAGGAGTCCGACTGAGACTTCTGGATTTAAGGTGAAGGGGTTAGGGTTAAAATTGCTCATAAAACAAATGTAGCTATTTTCTGAGGTTTCCGTCGCTCTGAGTCCTGCTGACAGAATCGTCTCCACATCGTCTCATGCTTGACGCAGAGGGAGGGGATGCTCCTCAAACACAGCTGTGTCGTTTTTCTTCTGTCTCTGCTCTCGCTCAGATCACAGTGGAGGATCATGGGAGGGCGCTGACTGAGCATGCTCAGTGGAACAGCTGCTTTGTGGACTTCCTGCGTGACGCCCTGGAGGCGACAGGCGACGACCCAGAAGAGACAGAACTGGAGGCTCCGAAGGTCTTGGACAGATAACAATTATTGTTGATGTTCTAATGAAAGACGCGTTTTCTTGTCTGCGGAGATTCTGAGTCGTCCGGGTCACCGTGATCCTCAGAGCTTCAGCTGAACTCAACTGGACTTCTCTTGTAGGTTCTTTTCACCTTCATCCAAGAGGTCTAACTGACTGATGGGGGCTTCAGGTGTTCAGTCACTCCAGCTCATGTGGCTAATGGCCCAGGACTGACCAGGACTCACCTGTCTCCAGGTGTGAGTGGTTGTGCTGCAGTGACTATGAACAGTAGAAACTTCCCCTCAGTCGGTTGGAACGGAAGATGAACCTTGGGTGAAGGTGAAACACCTTCAAGAACCTAAAAGAGAAATCATTCCTTGTCACTTTCATCAATACTTGTTTTTAGGGATGTCTTGATGACGTTTTTTCACCCCTGATCTGATCTGAGTCGTGTAATATTTCCTGATACCATTTTCTGAGATAATACACACTTTAGATACCGTAGACCAGCTGCAGTACCTGGTTGTTCCACCAGGTGGAGCCTCTCACTGTTTAATCCTGTGGAGACCAGAGGAGGCGTCTACAGACTACAGCTCATGATGGCAGCAGAGAGCATTGTGGGAGTTTAGCAGCAACGGGACCATGACAGAGACTCTGAGGAGGTTCAGGACCTCCAACCAGAGCTCAGGGGTTTAAGAAGATCTGGGATCAGCCAGAGCAGAGCCCCTGGGTCACAGAGACACGTGCAGCTCCATCATGTCGCTGTATCTGGAAACAGAATAAACACCCACTGGGCTTCATTTGCATTGTAGGCTGATGATGCTGCGTTTATTCAGGACACGTATGTAAACTAAGGAATGAGCTTCAGCCCTGAGTCCTGTCCAGGCGGCATCATTTTACTGTGGGGCCCGATTTATGGGGCTTTGGAGGTGATCGGTACTGGCACCGACCCATGTCCAAGTCATAGACACATCCACTGTCACATGGCTGTCCTAGTTCATCCCAGAGAAGCTGAACTCTCCTCCGTTGGCCTGTGAGCCTCAGAAGTTGTTCTGGCAGCGCTGAGCTCCACCAGGTGAGGCCGACAGGTGCTGCAGCTGATCTACTGGACTCTCTGTGCCCATCAGCTGGGACAATGAAATCGGGATTTCTCTAATAAACATTATTATCATCCTTCTGAGTGTAAAAGCGATCTGCCTGACAGGTGTATGAGCCAGTCCCGTCGCTGGATGTTCTGGCGGAGCGGCTGGCGCTGTTCCAGCAGCAGTACAACGAGGCGGCGAGAGGCGGAGCCATGGACCTGGTGTTCTTCAAGGTAGCGGGGCCCACAGGGTGTAGACTGAAGGTGTCAGCCTGCCACTGGCTGCACATTCAGGTCGCCTCAAACTACACGCTGAACACTTTGAGGAAATGCAACAAGCCGGAGCTTCTTCCCCTCTGTGGCAGAAGGATGAAGGCCAGTCTGTGTTTGGCTCTGGGAGCTCTAGAAGATGGTGTGACCACGCAAAACTGTCTGTACTGTAGTAATGAGAGCTGAGGTTCAAATTCTGTTACTTGTTTTTAAATCAGATTCAAACAGGACTCAGCTCTTTGTTCAGGTCCTGCCGTGGGTCCACTTTTCTGAAAGAGGGAGGAAGCCGTTATGATAGCGACCATAGCGTCCGTAGCTTCAGTGCTTTCCATTCATTGGCCCTGTAAGCAGCAGCCGCGCTGCGACAGGCAGAGCGTCGCGTTGCTCACTCCTCGTTTGCATAAAGTTAAGGTTGAGGCTTCTTTATGCTGCAGGACGCCTGTATCATCTCCTGAAAAGCTTTGAAGCTGATTGTGTAATTGAAGACAGATTCAGCGGCTTGTTTTCTTGTTTCAAATATTTGCAGAAAAACCTTTTGGTGAATTGTTCCATAACTAAAAGTTTCCAAACAAATGAATCCAGTGTTCACGTGGCTGCAGGTGGGCGGAGCCTGTGTTGCACACCTGTTAGGGAGCAGCTGTCAATCATCTGTTGTGAGTCCTACATCCGTCAAACATGCAGTGTCGTATAGAAACGTCCCTGTGGACAGGTGCCCTCAGTCAGAAGCGCTGTGATTGGCTGATTTCTGAACTCACCTGCAGCCGCTGGAACAGAAGCTTCTCTCTGGTTTAACGAGTGTTTGCGTTGGTTGATGGCAGGACGCGATGAAGCACCTGATGCGGATCTCTCGCATCCTGAGGACTCCGCAGGGAAACGCCCTGCTGGTCGGGGTCGGCGGGTCGGGGAAGCAGAGCCTGACGAGGCTGGCGTCCTTCATCGCTGGATACCAGACCTTCCAGATCACCCTGACCAGGTCTGGAACTCGACTCGCCGCCACAGCAGATAAACCTCACTGATCCCTCACCGGGGAAATGTACATGTTGCAGCAGCTGGATGCAGATGAAAGAGGCAGGACCAGAGTTACAGAAGAAGGCTGATGGTTAAGACAGCGTACAAGGCATGATGGTGTTACATTTAGATATGGACATGATGAATGTGACACTGAGGAGGATCTCTGTCATCGCAGTCAGAATCACCGTTGAGACAGAAGAGCAGCGTGAACATCGTAGCTCCACTGGAAGAGCTAGAACAATCTGAACAAACACACTGATCAGGAGGATGCTGGGAAGGACCTCCTCAGTGCAGACAGAGCAGATCCCACACCTACACGCACCCTGTTTGCTGTTGTTGTTGGTTTTTGTTTGATTCTGTTGTTTCATAAACTAGATGATGTTTCCCACAGCTTCCCTCTCAGGGTGCTGCGTCCTGGTTGCTTCTCCACCAGGGTCTTGGGAGGTCAAGGTTTCAGTATCTTAGCTGTTCCTGGTCTGCACTCTTCTGCTACCTGGAACCTGCTGGAGTCCCGCTGCCATCTTTAGGTCCACCTTGGCGTTCACCTTCCACATCGGTTCCAGGTGTTCCTCCAGCTCCTGGTTCTCCTCCTCCAGTCGGCTGCCACACATCCTGTGGTTGGTTATTCAGCACCTTTTCTCCGTGTGGAACTTCCAGGATCTGCTTGGTGGTGTGTCCCACCAGAACCTGGGAGCTTTGAGTCCAAACCCTGCACACATGTTCTGGTACACCATCCCACATGTCTCAGGGTCTTTGCCGTCCCAGATGGACTGTCTCAGGTGGTCTCTGTGCCTGGAGTCCTGTCTGCGGTGCTGCCTCCTGCGTCTGTGGATCCGGTGCTGTGATCAGAACCTCTGAGCTGCTCTTCAGGTCGGCCTTTTCTGGCCACCCTGCATCCCATGGACGGCTTTGGTCTTCCTCCTCCTCGCTCTCTGAGCAGGTCGCCACAGCGCTTCGTCTTCCTAAAGCATCCCGAGATGCTTCTTGCTCCATCCTGGATCGTGGCTCTGAGTCTCAGGATGCTGGACTCTGCACTGTGAACAGTTTTCATGTCTTAACATCATCCATCTCCATCTTGAGTAGAGCGAACACATGGATGGTCCAGATGTTCCTCCTCCCAATGAGCACCTGCCGGACCGTCTGGAGGCATCTGGCTGGAGCTGATCTGCTTGTGTTCAGGCAGAAAGATTCTTCACTGTTGAAGTGAAAACAGGTTTCAACAAAGTCAAACATGAAGTGAGTGATTGTGGAAGTACTCAGGCCCTGAACATCTGTAACTGTACCTCTGTGTGTGCAGGTCGTACAGCAGCAGCAACCTCCTGGAGGACCTGAAGTTTCTGTACCGTGTTGCCGGTCAGCAGGGAAAAGGCGTCACGTTCATCTTCACCGACAACGACATCAAGGACGAATCCTTCCTGGGTATCTGCAACACAACCACA